AGATGGTGGCCTACCAGTCGCTCCTGACCACCCCCGCCCGCCACAACCTTGACAGCAGATTACTCTATGGCAAGAACCCAGGACCCAACTCCCCCACAGCAACCCCAACTTCACAGAGACTGGGGCTTGAGGGGGGCTGAGGGAGAGGTGAAGCTGTCCTTTAGGGGGCTCCACAATCCCCCCAAATCTGCCTGGGTTCAGCCAAGGGCTTCCATCAAATTCCCAGTGCAGGACAGGAGTTAGAAGAGTACTGGCTGCCCTTTGCTTGCAGACAACAGGAATTCACATTGCATTCGCACCTTCAGACCCTTTATGCTAGAACATTGTTATTATTAATTTTTGTTGGTCATGGGGTTTAAACTCAGAGTCTGGGCACTGTCGCTGAATTTTGTTTGTTTTTGTTTGTTTGTTTGCTCAAGGTTAGCACTCTACCACTTCCAGCCACAGCTCTAGTTTTTGGGTGATTAATTGGAGCTAGAGTCTCAAAGATTTCCCTGCCTTGGGCAGATCTCAGCCTCCTGAGGAGCTAGGATTACAGGCATGAGCCACCAACACACAGATGTGGAACATTACCTTATTAAAAGAAGATATGAGCAGATAAATAAATAAAAGAATATATGAAGTCTGATTTCGGAGGAATGGGAAAGACTTTATCCTCTCTCCAGGACAATCCTCATCCAGCCAAGTGAATCCTACAATCCTATCCTATTGCTAAGTCCAAGGTTCTTTGTACCAAAGATACTTGGTATGCATGTAGAGAAGGGGGTGTAGGGAACAACTGGGGTTAAAGTCTTCCCTGAATGCTTTCTGGGAAAATGACCCCAGAGAGACTGAGGGGCCAGAAGGTACAAAAGAGGGCAGAAAATAATGATGTCTTGACTTTCCTACCACTTTACTAGGTATCAGTCCAAAGCACAACAACCTACCGAGAATCTCCCAGGGCCCTCTGTCTGATCTGCCCTCCAGGAGGAAACCTATCCCCACCCATACCCAGTGTATCAGGGTTGAGACCAAGAACTCAACCCTCATGGGATTGTCCCTAAATCCTTCCAGCTGTCAGACCCACATTCGTGAGGGGGCATCTGCTGTGAGAGCCCCATGATGACTTTCTCAAGAAAGTCCCTTCTTGATCTCCATAGATTCCTTTCCCCGTTCCCATTCCTGCCTGAAACAAGTTTCTTCACTCTCCTCCTGAGAAACTTAACAAATTTGACCTCTCTGGTTCAGCCAATCTAATAGGCCAAGCATTATCTTCCTCACTAAAATACAGCCTACCCTTCTGTACTGCCCATCTACTGAGTTCGGGAACTCAGAGGTAGAGAATTAGCAAAGAGAGTGTTCCAGTTGTCTTCACTTTATTTTTAGAAAGACATCTTGAAGAAGGAGACCTATCTCATCTTTGTATTGGAATAATACAGAGACCTCAATAAATATTAAGCAACCAATTTCTCAATGAAACAGCCAACCAGTTTGGGGTGGAGAATACCACTCAGGCCAGCGACTGGAACAGGGGAAGCATTCTGTTTGGTAAGAGACGCAGGAAGGGTGGAGCTCTAGGTGACTGGATTCAATCATACTCCTTTATTTTTTAAAAGAAGTCAGAGATATCAATCTGTATGTGAAATTTCCTTTTCTTCTCATCTTATTAGGAGGACTTATGATTAAAATCTAAATGCTTCATAATTATTGTCTTATTATTTTTGTTGAATGATACGTTGCAAAAAAAAATTAGATTTGATTGCGTTCCTGGTTCCAATTCTATCTAGTGGTATGGAAATGTATGTCTCAATATCTTGCTTTTAAATTAGGATGATGCACTGACCGTATCTAAGGAGATTACTCTGATTCAGAGTATCAAGCTCAGATCAACACAAGGTGTGTTACTCTATGACAAACTTCCTGTTCAAGGTTGAGCTAATTCACCTTTGATGCAGACCTCAAGAGAATATCTACTTGAAGAGAGAGCCCACTCTCAGTTTCATTATCATTCTTTTCTTGGTCGAACTGAAAACCAAAATCTATCCACATTGAAGTGGTAGTAAGCCTGCTAAGGTACAGGCCCTGAACCTAAGCAGCCTTTGACGATACACTTAAACCAATTCCATTCTATGCAAGACAGGGCTTCATTTAGAGAAGCATCTCTCGAGTCTCGCCATGGGACAGGAAAGTGAGGTGCTGCTAATATTCTAGAGGAAGGAAATCTAGAAATGAATGAAGTCTAGAAAAATCCTTCACATGTACCCTCCCTTCCTCTTCTCCAAGACCAAATGCTCCTTTTAGAACACGTACAAACACTGAAGTGCTTCAGTTTTGTCTTTCCACCCAGTCCCCTGCCTCATAGGTCACAGCCTTAGAATAGCCTCTTAGGATTGGCCTTTGGGCCAATGAGAAGCTTTAGGAAAGGGGACAACAACATGAAATTTGTTGGCAAAACTTAGTTGTTCTTGCTTGAACTTCTTTGTCATTTGTAGCTCAGGTGCAGGTGTGGTTTCATGGATGTCTGTATTACCCTGTAAAATAAAAGGAACAATAGATATTGTCCAACTAATGAGGAGCCCAAGGCTAAGGCACCCAGCTACTTGCTCCTAGTTTTACAGCTGAGCTCCCTGGAGCCAAGTAAGAAGCAAAGTCAGACAGATCAGCAAGAGATGAAAAGAAGGTTACCATCTCTCCCAGGCATGGTGCTGTGCCCTTGCAGGAGCTAAGGGCTTAGGGGAGCTGAAGCTGAGTGAGAAAGAGGTTCGAGCTTTGCTGATCAGGACACCAGGAACCAGATGGAAAGATAAAGACTATGGTTCACAGAAGGAGAGAAGAGCACAGGTTCATAGGCCTCTTGAGCCTTTTCATTAAGTACTGAAGATGGACTCTTCTTCCTATGTCCCTTCTCTGCCTGTCCCCTCATAGAAGCATGAACTCTTCCCAGGGAGAATGACTGTGTCCCTGGGGGAGAAGGGGGATAGAGGGCTTCATTGTGGAAGGATGGACGGTGTCAGAGGAAAGAGAAAAACTTCCCCAAGGCTCCTGGACCAGGGTCTGGGGACAGAAAGGCTAAGCAGTCCTGGGCCAGGCTTGGTACCATAGCAGTGTGTGTACATGTATGTACTTGTGCAATAACATGTGCTCTGTGTATGTTTATGTGTGTAAGTACACATTTATGTGAAAATGTATGTACATATTCACTGTGCATATATATATATATATACATATATATATATATATATATATACATGCACACTTAGGTATATATATATATATACACACACTTAAGTTTGTGTATGTTGTTGTGTATAAAGGTGTTAGAAAGAGGTGTAGGGGATGCTTGTCCTTCAATATAGGGGCTCAAAACCAGTGACTAAAGCTGACTGCTTTCATGTACACTAGACCCCAGGAACAAATAAGACACCTATATCCAGTGTGTCCACCTTGTATGGCTCTGTGGGTGAAATACTCCTCAGAAACCAGTCAAACAGGTCTTGGAGCCCAGCCCAGGGCAGGAACTCCTCTGGCTCCTGTAGCTTGTAAGAGCCTGATTTCACCCTCAAACCTGAGCCATTTCTGTGGGGCTGGCACAGGGCAGCTCTCCCAGGGAACAGGGTCGGTGTGCTATCACTGCCTCCCTCTGGGATAGGATCTGGGGGAGAGAACCTGGAACGGAAGGCAGCTCAGACCCCCTCACAGTTTTCCTCAGCACCAATTTCACTCATTTTGAAGGACCATGTGGACCAGGCTCCCTGCCAGAGTTGTGCTAGATACGTGCTGAAGATGACCCAGAGGCGATCGCCCAGTGAGGACTCCAAAGTTGAAGCTCAGTGTGTTTGCCTGTTGATCAACAGTAGCCATTCTTGGGCCAGAAAGAGTCACCGTCTGAAGTCACCCCAGGGGGTTCCCTGGGAAAATGGTGGCTGTTGTGTTCTCATGGAGATTATGCCTGTGGTTCTGAAGTGAGGAGAGGCTTTGGGCTGATGAGATTTGCTATTTATTTAGTGCCACCTGCCTAGACTTGTCTGGCTAGTTGGCAAGAGCTGTCCTTCCCCCACCCCTCTCCTTCTCCATCCTTGACATGCCTGGGAACTTGGCAGGACACTGACACACTCAACCCTGTGTCCTAGATTCAGGGTCCATGCTTCAGTTCCCCCCCCCAAAAAAAGGAGCTAGCCAAGGTCATCAACCAGCAATTTTCATCTAGTAAGACTCGTTCTGGGGGTTCTGCTTGGAACTATAATCCGAAGCATCTAGATTGCCAGGAACCTAAACACCAGAAAGAGTCCCACCATTATAATGGTGGCTGTGACACTTATATATACAAAAATCTTCTGGAGGAGTTCAGATGTAATTCACTAAACATAGGTGGAAGGATGTACGAAGTGAAATTGAAGCATGTTTAAATTCATCTGGAAACACAGAAGTTATAAAGTTAAAAGATGCACCTGTTGGACTCTCACAGGCAGCTCTCCTCATTGAGCTGGGAGCTTTATGTTTGATGATTCAACCGAATGGAGATGGAACAAATTGTACCTGTAGCTAGGTACAGTGGTTCACACACTTACAATCTTAACTACAAGGGAGGCTGAGATTGAGAGTTCCAGGTCAACTTGAGTAAAAACTGGATGAGACCTTATCTCAACAGAAAAGATAGATGTGGTACCTTTCATCCCAGCTAGGGTAAGAAGCATAAATAGGAGGATCACAGTCCAGGCTAGTCTGGGAAACATTTAGTATGTTGTATAGAAGTTTGACAAAGGTTACATACACATATATGATTACTTTGGGAGAAATACTGGCCTGGAACAAAGCCTAGGTTATCTGGAGCCTACACAGGTGTATGTAAAATTATCTGACATGAAACCCTGTGTTAGCATAATTAAACCATCCAAGTCCCTAGGACCCAGAATTCATGTGCTTTACCTGGCTTAGAAAAATACTCGTTTCCATGAGGTGGCACAAAATGTTCTTATACATCATTAGTGATGAATTCCAAGCTTTGTTGGGATGAGGCAGTACATTTGGGTCATGGATCAGTTCTGGGAAAAGTAGGTCTCATAATTACTTATTTTTTTTTACATGAGCACAAATCAAAAATAGCTACACTGGGGAGTTGACAGAGTTTATTTTCTTTACACTGGGAATTGTCAGCAGCAGACCTTCAAGGGTCTACAGTAGGGAAGCCCTGTCCCAGGGAAACAACATGGGGACTGGGAAAGGGAGAGCATCAGGTAGGCCAAGAAGCTATATTGCCTTGGCCTTGATTACTTGATAACTTGATAGATTCTAAGCTACAAGTTGTGGACCTTTGGATAAAGAGCAGTTCTTTGTAAACCACTTCCCCTGTGGCAACATTAATATAGGAAAGCAATGCAAAATACCCTTTTTGTGTCGCAAACGTATTCATTTCTAAATTTGCATACAGAAGACATTAAACCTTACTAATGCACTGAATTGCAATTAACCTATGAATGAGGAAGAGGGTTTATCTTATTATAAGTTTAATGGACCAGGCAAAATAGAAAAATTGGAGATTTGACAAGATTTTTAGATCTTAAACCTTGATCATGCAAACAAGGGATAGAAAGTTTGGTTTATCTTGACCCAGTAGAATGAAAAATAAAGTTATGTGAGTAAACCACAAATGTTTGTTGTGAAAACGCATATATACAGAAGTATGTGGAATAAAATATGATCTCCCTTATTAAAAAAAAAAAAAGAGCAGTTCTTTGAGCTGTAATTCTGTCAGCTCTGAAAAAAGCCAAGGATCAAAAGTACTTAAGGCAGGGCTGGGAAGGTGGCTCAGTGGTAGAGCGCTTGCCTTGCATGCATGAGGCCCTGGGTTTGATTCCTCAGTACCACATAAGCAAAAAGAAAAAAGCAAGAAGTGGCGCTGGGGCTCAAGTGGTAGAGCGCTAGCCTTGAGCTGAAGAGCTGAGTGACAGCACCCAGGCCCAGAGTTCAGGCCCCATGACCGGACTCCCCCCCTCAAAAAAAAGTACTTAAGGCAATGCTTTTGAAACCTCTCATACACTAATACAAAGGTGACTTTACCATATTAATTTTGAAGCCTACAACCTATCACACATATGTAAAAGGTTGACTTTACCCTATTCATTTTTAGTTACATCCGTTTTAGACCTTCCTTCTTCCTCACAGGAACCCAGGGTGCTGAGTGCTGACCCTCCAATAGATGATTGATGGCTCAGAGGCTTTTCCAATTTACTGCCCCCGAGGTCTGAGCTCTTTATAACATGGGTGGTTCAAGACAAAAGGACAATGATCTTTGGCGTATAGTACTAATCCAGAAAAACTAAGCCAGACAATGATACACAGGATGAGAAGAGAAGACCCACAAAGGAGGCCAGGGCTGGCACAGATAGTGTTTCTTTGCTATTCTGTTTTTGTCCTTGGAGGCAGAGACAGGAAGAGGACCGACTTTAACAAGTGGAGAAGACAACACCTTATTCCTATATCTAAGGGCCGCGCAATCCCTGCCATATGGAGTGCTTTAGTGATTCTGTGATCACGCCATTATCTGAAGGATGAGGCGGGGCACCCAGTGGTCCTCCTCCACCAGTGCAGCAGAAGAGTCCTCAGTAGGGAGAAGATGGCCTTGTGTGAGCCTTTCCCATCATCCCTTGGGAGCACTGCCACCGTAAACCTGCTTCGCAGGAGCCCAGCCCATCCAGCAGGGTCTGCCATGCCCCCTCCTTTCCTCCTTGGGTGGTTGGGCCCTGGAGCACCCAAGCCCGGGCAGGTCCAGGCACCACCAAGCTGGCACACTCAGCTCTGAATGGAACTATGTCTAGATGGGGGAGATGGGCTGCCCCAGAGCAGGGAAGATGAGGGCAGGGTGTACCTTGGCCTTAAAAATCCCTCATCTTAAAAATGCCTGCATCTGATCAGCCAAAATAACGTTTATTGCGGTTTCCTTTTCTTTTTTTCTGTTTATTCTTTTCTATTTTTTTGTTTGTTCATTTATATATCTTTGGAAGTGTACAGAAAAGGAGGGACAGATGAGGGGAGAAATTGGGAGAGAAGGAAGGAATGGCAAAAGGAAATGTATGCATCACCTGACTTATGTAACTGTAACCCAATGTATATCACCTTTATAATAACAAAAAAGTTAAAATAAAATTTAAAAAATTAAATTCCAAGGGGAACCAGTGACTGGCAGCTGGGTTTGCTCACAGGTACAGTCACAAATCTAGACTTGAATGAAATAGAGCCCAGAAGTGTCCTAATGAGAAACTAGCTATCCCAGGCAGAGCCTGTAATGACTAGTGGGGCTGAGGATGGAAAAAGTAACCCTCTCCCCGCCAAAAATCACCTTCTGCCTTCAGACTGAATTCTTCCATCTCCTGCCCTCCTGCAACCTCTGTCTTACCAACACTCAAACTGCTGATCAAACTCAAGCTCTGTTCCTGCCTCTAAGCCTTTCCTGGGCCATTTTCTTCCTCCCTCCTGTTGATACACACACAAGCAGGTAGGGGCCAGAAGCAGCTCCGTCTCCCC